GAACATAGTATTGAAGAGGAGGATCTTTTGGTCAGACTTTATGTGGTATCAATGCATACTAACATCCCAGTTCAGAAAGCTATTTAAACACTAACACTCAGCTTAGATGAGAACCCAGAAATGATTGGGGAGACAAATCTGAGCAAAAAGTCAATCTTGAAGCTACTTAGTCTATCCATGAGTAGCACATACTTCACCTTTAATGATAAAGTTTATGAACAGGTGCAAGGCCTAGCAATGGGATCTTGCTTGGCGTCCATTTTGGCTGATAATTGCATGTCAAGAATGGAGGAACACTTCATGGAAGAGGTAAGATTGACACCCAAACTGTTAGTCAGATGCATGGATGACTACTTTGCCATATGGCAGCATTTCAAAAGATAGTTTAGATAATTTCTTGTTTTTAATTAACCAGATTGACCGCAATATTAAGTTGACGATGGAGATGGAAGTCAACAATAATTTACCCTTTTTAGATGTCTTAGTGATCAGAGGAGGTGAGAAGTCAAGCAGAGATGTCTATTGAAAGCCAAAGCATGCTGGCTTTATCCTTAACTTCTTCTCCAATCATAGTTACAAAACAAAGGTTGGAGTTTTAAAATCTATGATTATTTGGAGCATAAGACTAGCCGATGTAGACCATTGTGACAATAAAATGAATCGGCTTAAAATAATATTTCTTGAGAATAACTGTCTCTTAGGCTTGATTGAAAATAACATTGGATTAATAAAGAATAGCTTTTTGAATGGTGAATACGTAAGGAGAGATAGTTTTCTCATGTTTTGTCTTTACCTTCGTGCATTCCCTCTAAAAGGATGGGTGAACAGGTAAAGAGGTGGGGAATAAAAACAGTCTTCAGGGAAACTACGACACTTTCTTCAGTTATGCCCAATTTTAGAGAGAAAGTTTACCCATTATCCAGTTATGGTTGCTACAAAATGATGTGTTCATGTGGTTGCTTTTATGTTGGAGAGACTTGTCGTCCCATTCTACAAACGGTGGCTGAGCCCAGGCCAGAAACAGGACATGAGATCGAATTGTCTCAAACTTGTCGTTTTGCTGTTTATGGCGTGTTTGCGGCTAAACGTAAAATTAGAGAAGCCATCAAAATAAACCGAATAGGAAATATCTTGAATTTAAGTAATACCGGCATGAAGATAAGTAAAAACTATTTTTGCTTGATTAATAGACTGAAGGATAGAGAGGGAATTGAGCCGCCTGCAAAAAGGAGGCAACGCAACTAGTCTTTTCTTGTCTTGTTTCTAATCATAGTCACTTCTCTGCACTTTTAGCTCACTCTTTCTCTCTCGCATTAAGACCAAAAATAGAAAAAGGCTCTTCATCATAGCAAGACGTTGTCCGACCTTACGCAATTGGAGTGATGGTTACAACATGTTTGTTGAAAGGAGGAGATGGTGGTCATCAAACCTTGATGGCTAAAAACAGACATTCCTTTTTGCTGTCCTAATTACTTTGAGCCATCACTGCGGGTTTCGTGCATAAGCGAA